TGCAGACCACGGGGAGGGGGGGACGCAGGGAAGATGCCGGTAAATGAACTCTGGGAGCAGTGGCGGCTGCCTGAACGCTTGACTAGACCCCTGGGCAGGCACCTGCCTGGGGACCAAGTGGAAGTAAAATGACTCTGGCTGTGGCACTTGCCCCCAGCTTTCCTTGCCTGCCCCTGTCCTGTCAGAGACCAGAGAGGGAGGGAGGGAGAGAGTGAGAGAGAGACAGAGAAAGAGAGAGTGAAGCCAGGGGTGGTGCAAACGTGGTCTGAAAGGTCTGAAAATGGAGGATAGAAAGAAGTGGAAACTGCTGTGGGCAACTTCAGCCCCCAGGCAATTAATTCTGCAGGACTTGGGGAGGCTGGACAGTGGGGCACAAAAGTTCCTTCACCTTCTGGAAGCTTCCCTGGGCATCCACCAGTAGTAGCTTACTACAACTACCCTTCCAGAGCCCTCTGTGGCTGGAGCTCAGAGCTACTCCCTTCCATCCACCCTCAGCTACCCCCAGACCCTGCTGCCTGCCAGTAGGGGGCACCTGGAGAGCTCTGTCTCCTGCCTCTGGCTGCCTGGCGTCCTTCGGGCTCTCCTCTCAGTCTCAGCTGTCCCCCTTGCCTCTCTTCCACCTCAGGGAGAGGCATCTGGAAGGGCCAGGGAGGAAATGCGGAAAAGCTCTGGCGTGTCCTCTTCCCCAGCTCAGGCCTCAGCGTCTGGAGCACGGGCATCAGCTGGCGCCTCCCTTTGGAGGGGAGGGGCTCCCTAGTGCTGCACCTGTTCCTTTTCTGAGGCAATCCTGAACCCCCTCTTTCCCTGGAATCTCCCCTGAGCCATCTGGGTTTTTAACTTCTCCAACTCGTCAGCCAGCCATCTTTCTGTTTATCTGTCATTTCACGTTGGTGAAATAAAGCCTGGTGGCCCCCAGCCGCTGTGTCCCCATGTGTATTTCTCTTCCACCTCACTAGACTGTGTGAAATTGGGAGTGTGTTCTCTGGGTGCCTTTATCAGTGTGGGTGTGTGGTGAGCAGCATGTGGGACTGCCTGGGGGCTTCTCCAGAAACAGACCCCAGTGAGCCCTTTCTTCTACCCAGTGGATGGTCCATGGGAGGAGATACCTACAGTTTCTGATGTTTGGGGGTAAGGGGTGCTTTCTAGGGGTCAGCAGAGATAGCACAGATCTGCTGCTCTCCCTGGCAGTGAAGAGGCAGTGGCTGGGGTGCGGGTGGGGGGGTGTCAGTCCCGTGTCTGTTATACCTGGCCCAAGTCTCAGGTACTCCACCTCCCCTCAAGGACTGCTATTTAGCTGCTGAGCTTCTTAGGCAGTTTTGAGGTGGGCACACACCCCAAACCTGGTCTCTTCCAGTTCAGCACAGAGGAGGTTTCTGAGGTCAAAGCTTTCATAGCCTGACTCCAGCTTCCAGAGCTGGCTTGGTGTGGGTTGGGAGGCTTGTCCTGTCTTGCAACCTGAGTGCTCACTTAGGCTGAAATCTGGGAGGATGGAAAAGGGGGTCAGGACTACAGGGCGGCCCTCTGTGGCACCCACTCAGATGCTGAGATGAAATCAAAAGGCCAAAGGAAACCCAATCAGAGGTTCAGAGTGAACCGCTCCAGCTGCAAGCCCAGGATACCATAGGGGCGCCCTAGGCAACGTCCCTGCCTCTGAGATGGCCAGGCAGGTATGTGTGTGGAGGGCCTCCTGCCCGCTTCCGCCCCATCCAGTCTATCTCCCTTCCCTGGGCTCATGAACTGGCTGCTAATTTTGGGGGTGAATCTGAGTCTGAATACAGCTTTGCCCAGGAAGCTCTGTGAGGTCAACTGGTCGTTCCTTGCTGAGGGATGTCTCCCAGGGAAGCTCTTTCTCTTTGGCTTTCTTTCCCTGCCCAGCTGGAACCCTGCCTCATAGGCCGTCTCCCCTTTTCCTGTCCAGGGACATCACGCTGCAACATCCTCTCTCTGCCTGGTCTCCCTCTCAGGATCAGTGGCTCCTGTTTTCAAGGAGATGGGCTCAATCACTTCTGCTCAAGGTTCCATTTTTACTTTGTGCCCTCACTGCCTCCTACCATGGCTACACCTTTTGGCCCAAAGCCTACCTCCACCAGGAAGCCCTCCTTGCCTGCTCTAGGCCAGAGTGAGGACTCCCTTCTCCGACCTATCCCAGCCCTGGTCTCCCATATCTCCTTGGTTAGGTCCAAAGTTCCTTATCAAGTCTGGACCTGCCTCCCTCACCTGTGACCTCATCTCCTTCAGCTACCTTGAGAAAGAACCTAGAGGCAGAAAAATGCCTGTGATAACTTCCTATGCCCCCTTGAGATGGGAGGCAGATTTCTGAGTTCTGATGACCGACAGGCGAGGGCTTAGATTCCCGCTGTCATCTTCTCACTGTGTGACCTATGCTCTCTGTGCCTTGGTGTATACATTTAAATAGGGTCAATAATATTCATCTCCAAATCTGTGTGGATTACACAGATTTGTTTAAAATCCTGGTGGGTGTTCCTCTCCAGGGATGGTGGGAGTTTATTATTCAGCACAACTGGATATTGGCCCTCTTATCCTCAATGTGAAGATGGGGGCTCAGGGTGGGGGGGTACCTGGGCCAGAGCTCACTTTATATCTGCACCCCAACTCCTCTGGAGGAAAGACTAGCGTCAACACACACCAGAGGCAAGAGAGCAGAGGCTGGAGCTCCCACTGGTCCTGGCACAAGGGTAGTCTGTCCACATGCACTGCCAAGGCCGACCTCAGAGACTGGCACCCCGGAAGTTCAATAGCCACTGTGTGCACACATGTCCTTCCCAGCACTCCTCTACCCACACTCTGCCCTGCACACCACCTCCTCAGGAAGTGAATGATGTGACCAGAATTTACTTCTAGAAGCATGGGGTTTACTTCTGATGCGACTGAAGTGCCCACGGTGTCTTTCTCTGGTGGGCAGGGCCAGGAGGCGCCATCCTCCTTTCCCCTGACCAAAGGCCCCTTAGAATTTACACCCCAAATTCTAAGCAGGAAGCTCCTCTCTCTGTGCTGCACCCCGGTGCACCACAGAACAGCCTGGGGTCCTGTGGGCTTGCCCAACCCACTCCTCAGAGTCTCTGTGATGCTTGTAACTTGGGAACCAAGTTTCCTGGCTGAGGAAAGTGGAGTCAAGATCGGGCAGACCCTGTCTCTTCCTCAGGACGCTCCCCTGTCTGGCTCCCTCTCTTCTCCTTCCAGCTCTGCCCCCTCCAAGTCTCCTCAGCTTTCCCTCCCCCCACTTCTGGGTCTACTTTCCCTTCCTCCCTCCCACTCCCAGCTCAACCCTCCAGACCCTCTCCTGTTCCTATTTCTTTCATCTTTTTAAATGTTCACCTCTCTCCACACCTCCCCAAGAAGTATTTAATGGATATTAAATTATTTTAAACTGACTTTCTTATTCTTTTTTTTTTAATAGCTTGGTGCTAATGCTGACTCAGGACCATCTCCGTGTTTAATATTGAATATGCAATTAATAGATAGATGTTTAGGTTTGGCTCTTCTCCCCCTCCCACCCCCCCTTTCTACTGCAGGGAGAATAAAAGAGCTGATTAATCTGGTTTGGGGCAAGTGTCAGAAGCAGGAGATATATGGGAGAAAGGAGATGAGGTTAGCAACTTGGAGTCAGAGAGCTATTGCCTCTGAGGCAGGCAAAGGGAAGGAAGGTTTGCATTTGAGCTCATCTCCCTGGGCAGAGAAGCTCCCGACACCCCCTGGGATCTGGCTAGAGCTGTCTCTAGCCAGCTGTGCTGTCTGTCCCAAACTGCTCCCCCTCAGAGGCCTCCCCATGGGGCCTTGCTCCATGGTACAGAACCTTCCCCTCCTCAAGACCACCTCTGTTGGGTCCCAGAACAGAACCTTCCCCTCCTCAAGACCACCTCTGTTGGGTCCCAGCTCCTTTGAGGGCTCTGGCTGTCCCTACCTCGCATACCTCCTCTTCGGACTGAGGTGGCATCTACTATCCTAGCTACAGGTCTGTACAGAGCTTTCTTCCCATCAGTTACAGGAACTCTTGGCCATGCCTTGGGCCTGCTACATGAACATGGGGCTGCGTGATGGGGTCTCGCTACAGGGTCCCCCACAGACAGTTCCCAGGAGAGAGGCCCCTGCTCCTCTATGACTGGTGTGGAGCTCAGTGTGAGGCCCTGGCAGTCAGTGCCACTCTCACCACCAGGCCTCTGGGCCTCTGTGGTTAGAGAAACCCACAGGAAAAGGGGCAGGAACAGCAGCGTGCACCAGGTGGGATTCTCAGGGTCGGGTCCCTGACACCTGAGCTATCTTTACCCCAAGCTGATGGCCTCCCAGGGAGGGAGAATGAGGAGTGAGGACCCTGTACCTGGGCCTGGAAGTGAGCGTGGACACAGGACCAGCACCCAGGACAGTGGGGGCTTGGCAGAGGAAGCCAGAGTCTGGCGGGGTGGAGCTCCAGCAGGTAATAGGGTTGGACCCTTTCTAGTGGAGAGGGCAGCGCCTCCCTGTGGGGAGTGAGGCCTGAGTTCGTGGGATGAAGTCATGTCCTCCTCTGTCTCTTCCCAGTGTTTCTCTGTCCACCCTTTCTATCCCCAGGATCTTGTCCCCCCACATCCACGGAAGGTGCTCTCAGATTCCTTATGTCCATGTTCGAAACTCCCCAGGGCAGAGTTAAAACCTGTTTCCTCCATCCCAGCCCCGTCAACCCTCTCAACAGCCGAGTCCCCTCACTATAGGGTTTCTGAGACACAGAGGGTGTACCCTTGTGCGAGGGCAGAAGTGTTCCCAGGGTCTGCTACAAGTTTCCTCACAGAAAGGAATGAACCCCAACACCCAACAGACACCTGTCTCCCCCTTCCCTCCTTTAATGTCCCCTGCAGTCGCCAGAACACCAAAGCCCTGTCCCAACTCCCCTCACCAGGTCCCCAAGGGTCAGAAAGAGGGGGCAGGGAGTGGCTGCATCACTGTATCAGGGAGAGAGAGGGAGAAAGGGGTGGGGGAGGAGGGGACAGAGACAAGTGGGCCCTCACGTGAAGGGGGCTGGCGCAGGCAGCTACTACCTCCTCGGCTCTCGCTGTCCGCTGGCTTCACCTGGATCGGCCGGTTCATCTGCAACAGAGCACAGGGCAATGTTAGGGCAGGTCTGGGGTGGGGGCAGACACCCCCACGCCCACCCCCACAAACACACAGGTGCTCACAGGTACACAGACTACACGCACCCCCACATACACTACATTACTGCACCCATCTCCCCCTGCCTATGCAATCTCCAGGACCCTTTGCTTCAGGGGAGTCTCTCTGGGTGGCAGGCCCTGTGGTGACTGCCTCCTGGTGTTGAGCAACGCTTGCTAGCCTAGGACATGAGTCTGAGTGCACCTGTGGCCCGTCCTGCTCCCAGGAGACAACCTGCTTTTATTTCTCAGTTCAGAGAGCTGAGATGAGCTGGTACAGAGGCTGCCCAGACCCTGGATTGGCAGCCAGTTGCATACCACCCTATGCCACCCAGTGGATGTGGATGGAGTGGGTCCTGGAATGCCAGGAGCTCTAGGCCGTTTGGCTCTGGGTTGCAGCATGGCTTAGGGTGGAGACTCTGGCTGTGACCAGAGAGATGCCCTTGAGTTGTGTGTGGAGTGGCACAGCTACCAGCCTCCTGGGTTAGTTACTGGGGTCGGAACCTCCTGGCTCCAGGAACCTCCTGGCTCCAGGATCCTTTGCAATGCCCGTTCTCGCCACTAGGGGTCTCTGGGCTCCAAGCTTCAGGACTGTATCCTCCCGCAGCCGGGAGGCTTGGGGTGGGCGCTCTACCGGAGGTCCCGAGATATTTCAAGCAATCAAAATGGCAGGAATCACACAATGGAATCATACTTTATGTCTGTGCCGGTACTTTTGCCTGTCACGTGCTCTATCATCCCTTGCCACATTTGCATTTCTCTCACAAACACCGACCCTGAGAGACAGGCAGGGGAGGGACCAACACCCCCATTTTTTAGATGTAGAAGCTGAGGCAGGGCTACCCCAAGGCAGGATGAGCCTGGGAACTCCGATCTGGCGGGGCTATTTCTGGGTTTCTTTCCTGCATCGGGTGACTTTTTGTTGCCAATTCCCTCCTGCACAGAGGCTGGCTAGCCAGTCACAAGCTTCCTTAGGTTTTCTGGTCTAGGATTCGGAGTGAGTTTTAGCTGCGTCAAGAGAACTGGGTGGGGGAGTGTGGGTGCCCGTGACTCAGCAAGGTGAAGACGAGACCAGGGGAAGGACAGAGCCACCTCCAGGAAGGACAGCAGTGGGAGGCAGGCACAGAACACAAGGGAAGGAGGCACAGGTGGTCAGAGCCGCAAGAGAAGACCCCGGGGGTCAGTCCAACGAGCGGGGTGCAGAGTGTCACTGTTGGCCGTAAGGTCCCTGCTCGGTACCCCTTATGGAGCTGAGTTACTTATCCAGTTATGTACTGCTCTGGTAAGCTCTGTCTGCAGAAGAAACTCGTCATGCTACAGAAAGTTCCAGTCACCAGGAGAAGGAAGTTCCCAGCTTGTGGGGTCCTCGCCCCCTCACAAACCACCTTTTTGTCCTGTTCTTAACCCAAAGATCCAGCAGGCTGAGCATTAAGGCCCCAGAGAGGGGGCGAGGCGGGAGGTTCAGGGCCCTCCTGGTTTCTCTCCAGTGCCTTTTAGTACTTGGCATTCAACTCTTTCCATCCTGGAACACCCCCTTCTCCTAGTCTCCCCTAAACCTGGAGCTCACTTACCCCAGAAAGGCTGCAAGATTAGACCAGGCCCAGAGCTGGCTATCGTCTTCTTTGGGACTATTTCTAGCTTATGCAATTATTATAATTCTCCAAGATGGGAGTATTATCTCTACCATGCAGTGAAAAGCCAAAGCTCAGAGGAGTGGCAGTTTTGGGGGTCAGCCAGAACGGGTGGACGTAGTGCTAACAATACATGTTAGGAGGATGGGCCTTTTAGTATTTGATCCTGCTTGATCCCAGCTGCTGTGGAAAGGGGAAGAGGCCAGGGAAAAATCCCAGAAAAAAAATATCCCTCTGATAGGGGAACTGGGGTCATGCCTTTGAGCCACCGAATCAATACACTTCTTCACCCTGGCCCCCCAGCTCTCCCCCCGCCCCCTCTAGTAGCACTGCTCCATTCCCCACATCACAGTATCTCCCCTCCCAAGTCCAGTCCCTTGACCTGCAGGGTCCTCTCACACACCCCACCAGCCGGCTCCCCTTGACCATGGAGACTTTCTGGCACGCCAGTGGCAGGGTCCACATAGAAAGCACAGTCAAGGCTGGGAGTGAGTTGCTCAGGGGTGCCCTGGTCTCTTAGGCCCCTCAAAGCATACACAATACTGCTACAGCAGCAGGTACCCCCACAGCTGCTGCCTACATTACAGTCGCGTGTATCTTAGCGGCAAGGGTAAGGTTCTGAGAAACGCCTTGCTGGGTGAGTTTTCAGTTGTGCAAACGTCAGGGAGTGTAATCACACACACCTAGATGGAAAAGACCACACCTAGGCGATAAGGAACTACAGGGCCACCGTGGTATACACCCGGACCAGACATGGTAAAGTGACACCTGACCACATATTGCTAGATTAGTATTAACTTCCCCTACAGTGTCTGCAATAGGCTGCCTTTAACTTTAAACCAAGGAAGCGGAGGGTCAGAGCTTAGCCACCTAGCTTGAGGTCACGGATACTAGGTTACATGAGTAGCGATACTAGGGTGTTTCCAGGACTCCTGACACTTGGGGAGATTCTAGGAACCAGGCGTGCAGGGAGGTGAGCAGGGGTGGGGACTCAGGCTTCCTCGGCTTTGGGAAGTGGGGGGACTGCTGAGGAAGAGCAGGCACAGGCTGTGAACTAGACCCAGCTGGGCTCTGGAGATGGAGTCGGGTGGACCCCACGGGAGGCATCATCCTGGGTGCTTGTGCACACTCAGGTAGATGTCAAGTGCTTAGGGGTGATAACAGGAAAGGCAGGGCTCCTGGGAGAACTCCCCCACCTGGCACCTTATTTCTGGGTCTGGGTCCCTCAAAGGGCCCAGTGCACTGTACTCTTTGAAGATGACCAGTCTTCTCTTCCTTGGTCTGTGAGCAGCTAGGGTGAACTCTGGCAACTGATGAGGGCTGGCACAGAGCTGCTGCTGATAGAGCAGGTCCCATTTTCCATGGCGATTTAAGCAAGGTCCATAAACTTTCAAACTCTCCCTGTGTTTCTGGCTTTCCACCTCCCTATGGGGAGAGCCCCGACCCTCAGGCAGTCAGCCGTTGTCCCAGGGCTCTGTGGACCAGGGTGTTTGTGAATGCTCTGCCCCAGGCTTCCCCACTTAGGGGACCCCCCAGTCAGGGATGTTCAGTGTCCAGACAGCCTGTATGGGGCTGTCAGAGCGGATCCACCTAGGTGAGAGACGAAACAGGGCCCTGAGTTTTCCTAATTCTCAGCAGAAATAAAGTGTCGGGCTGAGCTGGGGAGATTTCTCAGCTGGGGCGGGCTCTGTACAGTGCCTACCGCGGGCCTGGGGAGAGCGCTCCCTCCTTTGGTTAGGGGCTTCCTCTCCTCTTTGGCCCAGTCCAGCCTCCCCAAGGCCTGGTTCCTCCTTGAGAAGGGTGAAAGAGTGAGCTTGTCTGCTGAGAGAAGGCTGAGGAATAGGAGAGGGGAGAACACCCTTCTTTTCTTTTTTTTTTTTTTTTTTGAAACAAAAACAAAATTTATTTAGAAACAGAATAAAAGGACACACAGGGAGAGTTCCCTGTACAGGCAGAATCCATGGTAAGAACAATTGTGAGGGAATTGTGGGGATGCCAGCCTCAAGTGGGGTGCCGGAACTGTTCACTCTGACCCTTCTTGGGGTTCACCATGCACCATGGACAACACCCTTCTTTTACCCATGGGCCTTGGCCCCAGAGTCCTTTACTTGTGAGCAGAGTCAAGGACTCTGAAGGCACTGCTCCATTTGGTGGCTTCCCTGTTTCGCATCTTGCGTCCCTCTGTCCCATCGCCCCTCTCAGCCACTGTCCGCCCCTTCAGGAGGGCCTGGGATGGGGGCTGGTGAGGGCCGGGCCTTCCCTGCTGATGCTCTCTGAGGCATCTGGCTGCGGCTGCTCCCCGGCCCCTTCCCCTTGGCTCAGCTCTGCTTCCCCACCCCCTCCCCATCATTGCCACTTTTTGCATCAACACATATCCATGCATTAAACAAGACATTCCATTAATTTCTTCATCATCATAACTTAAGCTGGGACATACCCTTTAAATATTCATTCAGCTATGAAAACTGGGCATTAAAATTTTAATAATGTCAAGCTCATTTGAACCAGGCTCCTTGGGGACGATTACGATACAATTAGAATAAATATGATGATTGAGCTGGTCCAGAGGCTTCACCTGTCTGTCCAGCCTGGCTCCCTGCAGGAGAGGCCTGTGGCTGGCCGGCAGCCAGACAGCCCGACAGGTAAGTCAGCCCCTGGCTCTCTTGACTTTCTCCCCCACCCCTCCATCTCCTCCCTTGTGACTCCTTTTCTACCTTCTCTGACTTCTACCTCCCACAGGTGTCTGCCACCCCTGTGGGCCAGGGCAAAGTCATGATTGGGGTTCAGGGATGTCCCAGCCTTGGTAGGAAATGGCTCTGATTAACCCTGGCTGTTCCAGTTCCTTTCCTAGTCCTCTCGTCGGACCCTCACAGGGCTTATCCTGGCGTGAGAACCATTTTCCTGTCTGTGTGTCTCCTCTTCCCCAGCCTGCAAGGGACTCCCAGAGGCTGAGTGAGTACCCACCACAGCAGGTCAGCCAGGGGAGGGGGCCACTGTTCCCTGAGGCCCAGGTGTGTTCTGCCACCAGACTCAGAAGAGTCTGTCTTCACACGGCTCCCCTCGTGTGCCAACAGCCCTCCCAGGGCTGCGTGAGGTGTAGGGACACCCCCTCTTGGTCCCTCACAGTCTGGCACCTGGACAGAACCCTAGGCAGCACACGGAGCAGCCCTAGATGACTCTGCCCCTCTTCCATCTGCCAGTCCAGCTACCTGAGCCCCCTGCTTCACACCAGGCCCAGAGAGGCTGACCCAGGACAGGTCTAGAAATAAGTCCCCGGACACTCACTGGTCACCCAAAAGTGTCCTCT